GGACGTGCAGCTGCGGCAGGTGCACGCTCAGCTCCAACTCCAACACCCCCAGAACCGGCACCGCCAGAGCCCTCACCTCGAGCACCAACACCCTCAGAGTCCGCAGTGGCCGGGAGAGGAAGCGCCGACGGCTGCTGCGGAGGCTGTGAGGACGACTGTGGGGAAGGAGGAGAGACCTGGGGGGGTACCGAGGGAGGGGGGGTAGCCTGTGACACACCTGACGGAGCGGGAACCGGGGGGGGTACCGGAGGAGAGGGAGCGGGAGGAGGAGGAGCTGGGGCGAGGAAGAGGGGAGGGGGGGGAACCGGGAGACCTCGACAGGGGTACCGGACGTAGTAGGGGACGGACTCGTCGAAACTGACGTCACGAGAGTCAAAGAACCGGTGGGAGGGAGGGTGGTAAAAGGTGAAGTCAGAGGAGGCCTCAGGAAAACCAAGGAAGACACAGGGGACGCCGCGAGGTGAGAGCTTGTCCGCAGAGGTGTCGCGGACAAGCGCCAAGCAGCCCCAGACACTAAACCTCGACGCAACACCAGGGGACCCTGTCTCAAGACTGGTCGGTGAAGCCCCTGGCCGAGAGACGCGAGGCCAGAGGTTCAGCTGGTGAGCGGCGTACCGAGCCGCGTAGGGCCACAGAAAATGGGGCGCGCGGGCGTGGATCATGGAGGTGCGGGCAATCTCCATGACCAGGCCTAGCCGGCGCTCAGCAACCCCATTCTGCTGTGGAGAGTCTGGGAGAGTCCAGGACTGGGTGATGCCCTGCTCAGCACAGAATCTGGCGAGAATGCCGGAGCGAAACTCACCCCCACGGTCGGAGTGGAGACAACTGACACGACGACCACGAGTACTCTCGGTGGCGAGCAGCCACCGGATCAGCGTAGAAGTCACGTCGGACTTCTTCGCCAAAGGGAACACGGTGGTGTACCGAGAGTAGTCGTCAACGACCACTAGAAAGAAGCTCTCTCGCTCAGGTCCAAGCCGGGAAGCGGGGCCCCAGACGTCTAAGTGGAGTGTCTCAAAGGGCTCGGAGGCTGGACGAAGGGAGGAGGAGTGAGGGGTGGCGCGCAGCCGACCCTGGACACAAGGACCGCACGGAGGAGCGGGGGACGGCGGGAGCGGCGGGAGGTCGCGGGGGAGGCCTAAGACAAGACGCTGACTGGACATAGCGCGGAGACGAGAGAGGGACGGGTGACCAAGGCGGTGGTGCCAGAGGAGGACAGGGTGGGACAGCGACCGACACGAGCACGACGCAGCCACTAGACCTGGCACAGCTACCTGACTGGACCTGGCTACCTGGTGGGACGGGGGAACCGGACGGGTGTCGGTGTGGAGGGTGTACAGACCAGAGCCCGGCTCCTGACGAAAAGTGGCCAGAGGGGCGTACGTGTCACCGTCCACACAGACTGCAGTGTCACCAGAAGGCTCAAACCAGACCCCGACGTGCTGTCTCGCCAGAGGAGCCACACCAACCAGGTTCCTAGAGAAAGTAGGAACGTGGAGGCCGGTCAGAGAACCGGAAGGGGCAGCTGGGCACGGGAGGGTAGTGGCGTGAGTCGCAATGACCGGTCCCGAAGAGGGATCGGCCAGTGCTACAGAAACCGGCGCCGAGAGTGGAGTAAGAGTCGTGCTGTCGCGGAAGAAGCACTGCGTCGCTCCGGAGTCCAGTGTGAAGGAGAGCGACGCGTCCGCCGAGGGAGCACCTGTACTAGTAGCTAGACAGGATCCTACACCAGCACCTACTCTAGCAACAGGCAAAGATCCTACGCTAGGTACAGGCAAGTAAACAGATCCAGCAGCACTATAGTCAACATCAGCATACATCGCATAAGACCTAGCATCATCCATAGACATATCAAACACAGCAACACCACGAGCAAGGAGTGGTCCCCAGCGCGGTGGCGGGGGAGCGGAGGGGCCGTGGTGCAGGACGTACAGGTCGTCGAGACGGCTGAAGCAGCGTGCAGCAGAGTGGTCAGGGCGGCCGCAGTACGTGCCCCTGCGCGGACCCGTCAGGATCCAGTACTCACAGGGACCAACGTCGCGGCCGGCCGAGCGGGGTCCCCGACTAGAAGGGGCACCACTGCGCCCAGTGCTCGGGGGGCCCGTAGGCCTCCACTGCTGCGGGGGGCCCCACTGCTGCGAAGGGCCCCACTGCTGCTGAGTGCCCCACTGCTGCTGAGTGCCCCACTGCTGGGGCTGCTGCTGAGGCGGACGCTGCTGCTGGCCCTGGCGCTGCTGCTGCTGTCCCTGCCGCTGCTGCTGTCCAGGCGGTGGCAGCTGCGGAGGAGTCTGCTGCTGCTGCTGCGGAAACCCCTCACCACCGTCTAGAGGAGAGCCGTCAGGTCCCGAGTCACCCCCGCCGCCACCCCCGCCACTAGTACTACCGCCACCGCCGCCACCCGCAACACCCCCAGAACCCCCGCCGCCCTTCCCTCCCTTCTTGCCGGACTTGCCACGTTTCTGTCCGCCAGAGACAGAAACGGCCGCCGTCTCCTCAGAGGCAGAAGACGCGGCAGTGGCAAGCGAGGCAGTGAAGGTGGGAAGCTGTGGTACCGCACACCCCTCAAAGAGACGAGGAGGAGGCGCGGAAGAGGCGGAGGCAACAGCGAGGAGGTTACTCTCGATCTTCGAGAGAGCGGTCTCAAGAAGATCGATAGTAAGCTCAGTGGGGTGCTTCAGGAGAAGCGCGTCGCGGGCTGTGGCTAGACGGTCAGGGAGGCGAGTGACTAACCAGTGAATAGTGAGCCACATGGGGGGGGGTGCAAGGGCAAGCTGTTCCTCAGTGCAAGCGGCCTTGAAGCGAGCTTCAAGGGAGCGCAGGTGGGTAGCGAGGTCAGCGACAGTCTCAAAGGAGGCGAGGTCAGGGTAGATAAAGGGGACGAGGAGGCGGCTGAGGGAGGCAGAGGAGGGAGTGGAGTAGCGAGCAACAATAGCAGTGTAAAGGTCTGCAGCAGACTCGACCTGAGTGAAGTGGACGGCCTCAGTCGGCGGGAGAAGGTCGGTCAGGGCGAGGCAGGCAGCAGCGTCACGAGACTCCCACACGTCACGAGCGAGGAACCGGCGCTGGTACTCAGCCTCCTGCTCGGAAGTAGGCGGTGGGGTAGTGGGCAGCGGTGTAGGCTGCGGCGGGGCGGGCAGAGCACCGGACGCGTGCGCAAACAGGTGCACGCCATCCTGGCGCTGGCTCCTAAGGTGGCGCTGGGCCTGCGTCAGCCAGGTACTAAAGTCGATCGCGCGCCCCTCAGGGTCGAAACGGAGCACGCGAGACGTCGCCATGAGGGGCGAGAACAAGCGATAGCGGCCGCCAGCCGCGAGAGGAGGAGGAGAGGGAGGTGAGTGCGAGGCGGGTGCGCGCAGGCGGGGCGCGTTCTGGCTGGGCGCGGGGCGGCGGGGCGCTCTCCGGCGCGGCGCGCTGACTGGCATGGCGCGCGGGACCGGCGCGCTGGCGGGCGGCTAGGCAGGGCGCGCGCTGGCGGGCGCGCTGGCGGGGCCCGCTGGCGGGCGCGCTGGCGTGCGTGCTGGCGGGCGCGCTGGCGGGCGCGCTGGCGGGCGCGCTGGCGGGCGCGCTGGCGAGCTCGCTGGCGGGCGCGCTGGCAGGCGAGTTGGCGGGCTCGCTGGTGCGCCCGCTGGCGAGGCGCGCTGGCTGGCTGGCGGGCTAGCGCGCTGGCTGGCAGGCGCGCTGGCTGGCTGGCGCGCTGGCTGGCTGGCGCGCTGGCTGGCTGGCGCGCTGGCTGGCTGGCGCGCTGGCTGGCTGGCTAGCAGGCGTGCTGGCTAAGGGCGGGGAGGGGAGGGGCGCGCCGGCTGGGGCGTGGGGTAGGGCGCTGGCGGGCTGGCGGGGCGCAGTGGTAACCCTAGTGGTAGGGACGGGCGGGCCTAGGGCTAGGAGCGCTAACCTACTGCTGATACCATGTCAGAATGAGAACTACAGCGGAATGTGTTGCATTGACAGAATTGGGGTACATAACCTAACCCTAACTAGTTGTACCCCATATAGCCCAACCCACTACAGGCTATAATATTTGACAGGGGCTCCTACCATATGTTAGCTTACTCAAACATGGCATTGCAACCATATTAGACAGCTGATTGGTGGTCATGCTGGTCGAACTAAGTAGGGAAAGGATTACACGACACATGCACTCAATCACCATTTGCAGCATGAGGTCATAAATACCACATCATATTATCAGTTTACCACTGAATGACCTACAGCATCACTAAATGGAATCTTTCCAATGCCACAGCCACTAGCAAGTCCATCATTCAGCTCCTCTCTCAGCAATGTAATCTATGAGCTATGTGCTACCCTGCCCCCGGTGCTGCAGTTTTGACAGCGGCCGCTGCATGGGAAGTTTGCATCCATTGCACTCCCATCCACACGCCTCCAGCCAGCAACGGCACACCGAGCACCACTCCAATGATCGTTCCTGCCAGAGCAGCAGTGCTCATCCCCCCGCTGCTGGTCCCCGTTGTTGATGAATCATCTGAGGGCAGAATGATGATAGGCGGCGGTGGGGGAGGCGCAGGAGGGGGCGGTGGAGATGGGCCAAAAGGTGGGGGGGACGGGGGCTGCGCTGGGGGGGGCGGAGGGGGTTTCGGAGAAGGGGGGAAGTACACAGGCGGCGCGACCGATGAATTGGGAAAGAGGGAGCCAGGAGAGAGTGGCGGAGGGGGGGCCTTAGGGGGCACTGGCGGAGGGGTTGGCGGGGGATGGGGGGGCGGGCTAAGGGGCACAGGGGGTGGAAAGAAAAGCGGAGGCGGCGCGGCGGGCTCCGGAGCGGGGGCATCGACGAGTTCCGATGGTGCGGGCGCGGGCGCGGGAACAGGCGCAGGCGCAGGCGGGGGAACTGGCGGAGGCGGAGACGGGCTCGGTGGGGGCGGTGGGGGGCTCAGTCGGGGCTTTGGCGGCGGAGGGCTAAGTAAAGGAGGCGGAAACTCCGGAGGGGGTGCGTCAGGAGGTAAAGCTGAAGGCGGCTCGGCAATAAAGGGAGGAGGGGTATTCTAGGACGGTGGGAATGGTGCGGGGAAGAGAGAGGGTGGAGGTTGCGCAGGAGGAGACGAGTTTGTATACTTCTTAGGGGGGGAAGCTCGGGGCGGGGACAAGGAGGGTGAAGGGGAAAACGGAGGCGAATGAGGAGGGGACGACCAATCGGGTGGGGAGTTGGGAGGAGATTGATAAACGGGTGGAGAGTTGGGCGGGGATTCCTTGGGCGGGGACTGTTTGGGAGGGGATTGTTTGGGAGGGGACTGGATGGGGGGGGACTGCTGCGGCGGGGACTGCATGGGCGGGGACTGCTTGGGCGGAGACTCTTTAGGCGGTGACTGCTTGGGCGGGGACTGTGGAATCGGCGGGGACTGTGGAATGGGCGGGGATTGATAAGGCGGGAACTGCCATGGCGGTGACTGGGGCGCTTGGAAATCCGGAGCCTTAGGCGGGCCAAACGGGGGACCTGTCTTGAACCGATTAACGGGAGGGGAGGACGACGACGAGGTAGGCGGAGACTGGTCGGCCGGAGGAGACGATTGCACGGGCGGAGAGGAGGATTTCGGGGGGCTGCCGGAGGAAGGAGGTGATGAGGACGAGGGAGGGTTGCTAGGGGAACTGCCACCAGAAGGGGACTGGGGGGACGGGAAGAGGTTACCGCCGCTTCCAGTGCCACCACCACCTGGGAAAGTTCCGCTGCCGCTGCCGCCTCCGCTGCCGCTTCTTTGACCGCCGCCGCTTCCCCCTCCGCTGCTGCTTCCCCCTCCGCTGCTGGTTCCCCCTCCGCTGCTGGTTCCCCCTCCGCTGCTGGTTCCCCCTCCGCTGCTGCTTCCCCCTCCGCTGTCACCTCCCGGGTTAAACGCGCCGCCGCCTCCGGGCCAGATTTGATACGCGATAGCGCGATTCGACAGATGAACCTCGTCCGCTCTGACGCCGAGCAGAAGCGGCAGGAGCGCGAGGATGGCGATGGCGAGCGTCATGTTGAGCGGAAAACCCCACATCGAGCGACGACCGTTGCGATATCCCTTCAATGACAGGAAACGGCGCATTGAACTCGAGAATAGCAGGCGACGCGGAACGGGAGACAGCACGTCTTGAACACGGCACACGCCGCTGGACTCTGAAATAAGGAGTTACGGGGATTGGGGTGGATGCGGAGGACAGACGGGTGACGAACAGACAAAACCGAGGCAACGATTGCGTGGCGATTGGCACGCGTGATTGTATCTGGTTTGTGCGTGAAGGACGAGCAAAAACAGAACTCGCATTGCGCCGACCATCGCGGACGCTTCAAGTCGGCGAGAAGCCCAAGGTGGAAAGGATCAAGCGTCGAAATGAGGAGGGTGTTGAGGAGGCATGGTGAAAACATCTGGTAACGAAATGTAGGCAGACTATCCATGTGAAATCAGTAACCATGTACAGATCTGCATGTGGAGCCATGAAGGCGTAACTATCTTTAGGTTCGACCGTGTACAGCTTCATCAGAAACCACATGCATGACGAAGCGTTTTTAAGAACGGATGACAGTATACTAAGAAGAATATTTGCTTCAGGTTCACGTTTTGCAGATGTACGGTCAACGTTGCACTTACCCATTACAGCGATAGATGCATGCTCGTGGGCCGTCCTGTCTGGGTTGCCTCGTGCAGGAGAACGCTCGTTGACCTTTGCGTTTTCCGCGCGAGCCGTGAAGCCTTCAAGAGCAGCTTAAACAAACGCTATTGGAATGATTTCTCGTTCCACGAAAGGAGGTGAACCTAGGTCCTGGAAGTGGCACAACCAGACCCACACCACACGCTACGCGGTTGATAGCTGAAGCAGAGTTACGGGAATGATAGCACCATTTTCATGGTGCACCCACCAGATCTGGTTTGCTTGTCAACTCATCAATCGCCGTACCAACGAAACGGTGGGAAACACCGCCAGGCCTTCATGTGCCTGGAGCTTGGGTGGAATTTGAGGCTGGGTGGGTTCGCGCCAGAGTTCTTTTTCCTGTGGAAGATTCGGCTCCATCACATGTGTCGCTGATGATACTTTGGAGCTGCCGCTATCTCCCTAGGTATTGTCCGATGCCGCAACATCAATATTTCTTCAAGAGCCCCAAATATGGATTTTTCTGGAATATGTACCCTGTAATAAAATTTCTGCGGTCAAATTACTAATAACCAATAACAGTGATTGGTGCTCGTGTAAAACACACATCAAAGAGCAAAAAGAGTGTGGAAATATCAAATTTGAATACATACCAGCCCCTCCAAAATGATTTTTAGGTAACCACATACGGTAAGTAAATGTTCCTTTATGCTGCCTGCTTCGGTCCGAACCTAGTAATTTGGCAGGGGCTTGCCCTCAAGATTTCAGCAAGCCGCTGCAGTCGGTCGCGCGAGAAATGGGCGCGAAAATTGCTGTGTGGCAGACGTGGCACAAGCCAGCTCAGGCGGGACGCTCCGCCTTATTGGTTCCCTTCGGTGACCCTGATGCCTTCTCACGAGGCTGGTCTGCCCTGTAAAACGCGATCAACCCAACCACCGAAAGGCGGGAACTTGCATTTCCGCGATTCCGTTCCGACGTCATTTCGGCTCGACGCACAAATATCCCGATAGCAACCTTGAATTGAGACAAACACTGCTATACAACTTGTGGCATATACAGCATAAGAAAAAAAGCACGATACATGCGAAGAACGATAGGAATTGTACGCGATGTTGAGATGCGTAGTAAGGAATTTCGAAAAATTTCTTACAGTTATCTTGTTATTTACATCCACTAAGGCAAGCTCTCTCTAAGGTTCCCGTTGATCATTACGGTTTTTCTTTACAACTGCAAATTAGTTTCTTCATAAAAATGGTAATTTCACAAGAAAGAATCAGTACTTACTTGAAATACAAGGCATTGATATTTGAAATACAAGGCATTGAAATCAAGCAAATTCTATAAAGCTCTGAAACTGCATTGAAACTGCTGGAACCCTTTCTTTTCTCATAAGCCAGAGACGGGTGGATAACCACCCGTGATTGCATACTTTTCGCCAAACCTAAACGCTACCAGCAAACACCTGGCGGTCGTCGCGTAGGCCGAACCCCATAACTCGGCCTGAGGAGCCGAACCACATGGGGGAGGGGGAGAGTGTGCAACGAATGAGGGGAGGGGGTGGGGTGAAAACCACTACAGGGGTGGTTTGCCCGAAATCCCGCCCCCTTGAACTCACCAGACCCCCCCAGTCTGTTCTGCGCTGGGTTTCAGGAGTGGAAATTCGTCTGACAGGGAATAGGGGCAAGGGTTGGTATACAGTACGACAACGCTACAAGTCGACTTCTTATTTCTCCGCTCGTCGGAGCTATTTTTCTGAGTCTACTATTGCGCCTGAAGATAATTAAGGTGAGGAAGCGCCGAATCCGGACAGACACCTATTACGTCGCGACGTGTAGGGCTCTCAGTTACTCCCAGATGCAGCTAACAGCAAATGTGAGATGTCTTCAGTCGAGGTGGTCTCAGGGCGGTGCTCACCTCAACAAGGCGAATCGTTTTCGCGTGATCCAGAGTTAACGTTTCTAACTAGCAGATGCGAAGCGGCTGGGTTCCTTGCGTCACATACCCGCTTCGTTTCACAGATTCGCGCGTTTGTAGGAAGCTGGTCACCTTAAGTGGACGGCTCAGATGGCTAGAGAGCAATCCCTGCAGGCAGTAGTAGCAGAATTTGAGCATCGATCTTGCGATAATATTGTGTAGCATGCAGAGAAGCCGGTGGAATGTAGTCGGAAGTCATAGGACGAGCCTAGGACAGGGAAACCTAGTCTCTTCATCTAGGGATGCGTTTTTCTTTTTCTCGCAGTTTCGTCCTTCCCCTTTTCGTCCGTTTTCTCTCATCTGACCGCGATTCTTCTGAATTTTCCCTTGCTCCACCGCTCCAGTCGCCATGGGTCGCGTGATTCGCGCGCAGCGTAAGGGTGCGGGTTCCATCTTCGTGTCGCACACGCACAAACGCAAGGGCGCGGCGCGGTTCCGGTCTCTGGACTACTCGGAGCGCAACGGCTACATCAAGGGCGTCGTCACCGAGATTCTCCACGACTCGGGCCGCGGTGCTCCCCTCGCAAGGGTACGTGCTCCCGTATTTCAAACTTCCACCCCGGGAATGCGTTTGCCTCTCGAATACCGCAGCTGCAGGTGTGAATCTTATCATCTGAGGATACATACAGCAGGGTACACATCACTTGCGACAATAGAGCCGCTCCTTGGTTCCAGTCTGTTGTCAAGGGCATTGAAAGGGGGCAGCTTTGTGAAATAGGTCAGCGCGTTTCGCAGCTCTGCAACCAAATCGGTCCCATATTGTCCAGGGCTTTTGGTATCTTCGGACGTTTCCTGAACGTCACTGCATCAGCGGCGGGCGTATGTGCTGGGACTCGGTGAAAGCCAGTGGCGCATTAAGAGCAGTATGTGCGGTGCGAGCGCCTTGGCGGCGCGCGATGGCTGGAATGGCAGGTCGGGCAGTAAATTAGCAGCGCTGACGATGGGGTTACACAAGGAGTCTGTGGATGTGGGACTTGGTCTTTGAGGCGCCTAATAATGACCCGTACTGATCAGGTTACACAGGGAGTCAGCGAATGTAGGCCTATTTCCGCTCCTGTTTAAGGACTGGTGTTTAGTACCAGGTGATGTAGAGGTGGTATGACATCGCATCGCATGGGCGTGGCATGTCATGGCATGGCATGGGATGGCGTGGCATCGCGTTGCATGGCATGGGATGGTATGGCATGGGATGAGATGGTATGGCCTGGCATGACACTTCAGGATGGCATGGCATGGCATGGCACTTCAGGATTATGAGCACGTGAGTCAACTGCAAGCAGGAACAAGCATCCGTGTGAGGGCTTTGTGCCGGGTTACATGAAGAGTTTGCTGTGCTTTCTGAGGTCACTCCCACCAACACCAACACCAACACCATCCCTGCTTCTCCCGCCCAACCCCTCTTCACCTCCACCTCCTCCCTATCTCCTCCCCGTTCCCCCCTCCTCATCCCCCTCATCCTTCCCCCCGTCCTCCCTCCCCTCTCCCATCCCCCCCCGCGCCATCCCCTCCCCTCCCATATCCCCGCTGCAGGTGCAGTTCCGGCACCCGTTCCGGTTCAAGCAGCAGAAGGAGCTGATGGTGGCGGCGGAGGGCATGTACACGGGGCAGTTCGTGTACTGCGGCAAGAAGGCCACGCTGAGCATCGGCAACGTCCTCCCCGTGCGCGCCATGCCCGAGGGAACCGTCTGCTGCAACCTCGAGCAGCACGTGGGAGACCGCGGCGCCATCGCGCGCGCGTCCGGGGATTACGCGATCATCGTCTCGCACAACCCGGATAACGGCACCACGCGCGTGAAGCTCCCGTCTGGGGCGAAGAAGGTGATTCCGTCGTCGTGCCGTGGCATGGTGGGGCAGGTGGCGGGTGGTGGTCGCACTGAGAAGCCGATGCTCAAGGCGGGTAACGCGTACCACAAGTACCGTGTGAAGCGCAACTCGTGGCCTAAGGTGCGTGGTGTGGCGATGAACCCCGTGGAGCATCCCCACGGTGGTGGTAACCACCAGCACATTGGCCACGCGTCCACTGTGCGACGCGACGCGCCGGCCGGGCAGAAGGTGGGTCTGATTGCTGCCCGGCGCACTGGGCGGCTGCGCGGACAGGCTGCTGGCTCGCTCAAGATGGAGAAGGGTGCTTAAGCAGCTGGGGTGGTGGTGCTGGTGGTGGTGCTGGTGGTGGTGGCTGGAAGGAGAGGGGACACGTCGAGAGAGCAGCGGCGTCAAGAGTGGTGGGGTATTGGCCATTGGTGGAGGAGAATGGGGCTGGTTTGGGACATGCCGGCAGGAGCCACATTATCTCATCTTGCTCTGCTCCCAGTGCTCTCTAGTCTGGCTGTTACAGGGTGCGGTTGGCTTGCAACGGTATTAGAGTGCTTGTGCTTTCAATGGATGAAGCATATGATTGTAAAGAGTCCATTTAGCTCGATCAAGATATCGATAGGTAGTAAGTATCACACCGTTTTCACCTGCCCAATGCAGGGAAATGGACAGTTTCAAAATCTACCGGTAACAAGGGGGTATATTTCACCTAAACCCATCGAAGACCCAAGCCCCTCTAGATTATTCTAGTTCAAGCTACTGTACATTACCATACATTGCAGACTGACAGCTTTTGAATCAAAATTGCTTACTCTTCAAGATGCACCCGGGAAACTACTGTAGCAAAATTTTGATAATTGCTAACATCGTGCATTACAGCAGCATAATCCCTAGCGTCCACGCATCATCATAGCAACTAGCATAGCAACCAACCATCTGCTGTGCAGGTGTTGAAAGCTCAGGAGCGCACAGAGAGGCGCTCCTCTTCAGCAGGCGTTCTGGTGACAAGGGAGAGCGCGTGCAGGCCCTGCTTGAACTCTTCCTCCAGCAGCCCATAGATCAGCCTGTGCCGCCGAATGGTTGGCACTCCCTCAAATGCTGACGACACCACCCGCACACTGCACGCAAGGGAAGGGGGAGGAAGTGGAGGGGAGAGAAAGGGAGGCGCAGAGGAAAGTGGGAGGGGGAAGTGGATGGATGGATGGAGTTTTGATTGTGCGGGGTGAGCGAATGGTGGGGATGCGGGGTTGTAGAATGGTAGATGGCTTGAACTGAGGGTGGGAGAGGAAGGCACAGGAAAGAGGGAGTACGGGGGATGAGGAGAGGAGGAAGGTGGAGGGGAGAGAGGTGAACAGAGGCAACAATGACAATTGCAATTGGTCTGGCGGGAAAGCTAGGCCTCGTGTACTGACTTGAAGTGCGTTTCTCCTTTGCCCGAGGGATTCCCCGAGTGGCCTGCATGCTGGTGAGACACGTCCTCCACCTCCAATGCCGTTGGCGTCAATGCCTTGTTAATCTGCCACCACACACCACACACCCACCACATATCAGCAAGTCACAACCACACGCACAGCAGGAAACAAACGGGTGAATGCCAGCCTCTTAGCTCATGAGCTGGTGTCACAAGTCAACAGCCATCACCACACCAGGTCATGCCCATCCCCCCGTTCATGATTCCCACTACAAGTATATTGCATCCATGCCTCACGCCCGTGCGTTTTATTACCACAATTTCCAAGCCCCACACCTATGCCTCCCGTCCATCCGCCACACCCACGCACCTTGGCAGTCATGGACGAGAACACAGGCCGCTGGGGATCAATCGGTGCCTCCGCCTCCCCCCCATCCCCTTCCCCGCTGTCCCCCCCCGTGGCGCTCGCCCCGTTCCCCCCACCTGCAGCAGCAGCACCCGCCGCTGTGCCTGCTGCCGCCGCTGCAGCAGCAGCGCTGCCAGCGGCGGCTGCTTCCGCGGATTGCGCGGGCTCTGTGGGCGCGGAGGCGGAGGCGGAGGCGGAGGCGGACTCGCGCTCGGCGTAGAGCTGCAGCGTGCGGCGCTGCATGAGCAGCAGCATGTTGAGGAAGCCGTTGTTGCGCGAGGGCGTCAGGCTCTGCTTCAGCCCCAGCATCTGAATGAAGTCAGGCTTTAACGCCACGATCTGAAGAGCGCGCGCGGGGTGACGCCAAAGGGAGGGGATGTGGAGGGGGGGGGAAGGGAGGAAGGGAGGGGGGAGGCGGGCGGATACACGAGGGGGAATGCAGCTTGTGTGAGTGTGCGCGTTCTTTTGTGTGGTGTGACGTTAGAGCGTGTGCGGGCATTGCAACCGCATGTATTGGTGCACATATCCCACACGCCCAACATTGTTCCACCACGCCTCCTGAAGCTTCACCCACACACATCCTTTCCACCATAACCTCTGTCACACACACACCTCGCCATCACACATTCCCACAAATTAGCCATTACGCCCTCCTTCTCTCCCCCACCCTTCTCCTTCCCCCAGCTCCCCCTCTCCCCTCACCTCCGCGCTCCCCTGATAGGGCCGATTCCTCCATGCCCCAATCTTCCCCCCCTCCGATACCGTCCCCCGAACGCCCTACTCCCCCCCCGCGCTGCGCGTACCTGCTGCGGCGTGGCGCCGCTAAGTCCCTCGACGAGCAGCGCGGCGAGCCCCTTGGTAAGCTGCGAGTCGCTCTCCGCCTGGAAGCTCACCCGCCCGTCCTCGCCCAGCGTCGGTAGCACCCACACCTGCGCGCACGCGCCAGGGGTAATGGGGGTAGGAGTGGCGCCGGAAGAGGGGATGGGCGGAGAAAGGGGAGGGACAAGGGGATGACGGACGAAAGAAGGAGAGGGGGCAAGTGGGGGAGCGAGAGGAGAAGGGAAGAGGCGAGCAGGGTTGAGAGGAGTCACTCTAAGGCATCGGAAGACGAAAGAGACGGGAATTTGCACGTGCTCGAGGCGCGCTCAATTCGCCGGCTTTCGAGCGAGGAAGGATGGACTACGGGGCGGTAAATGCGGACACGCGCGCGCACGCACATACCTGCGAGACGCACCCCTTGACCTTGTTCTCCGGCGTCTGGAACTGCTTCGGCAGCGGCTTGAGCTTCGCCGCGTAGTAGAGCAGCTGCTGGTACCGCGCGCGCGGATCGGGCACCATCTGGAAGCTTCGCACGATCTTCTGCAGATTCTCCGGCAGCTCATCCATGCTCTGCATCTCCGCGCGCACCGCCACGTGGCCGGCTTCGGTTGGCCGGATCGCGGAAGGCTTAAGTGGTTGCAGCGCGGCGCGGCGGAAGGCGGAGGCGGAAGGGGAGAGCGCGATTGCGGAGGAAAAAGGAGGGGAGGGGGAGGAGGAGGTGGCGGGGGAAAGCGAGGAGAGCGCGCTTGACGCCGACGCGGAAGTCGGAAGCATATGCGCGGATGCGCGGGTGTGCCAGACGGCGGCGACGGCGGCGGCGGCCTTTGCGGAGCCCATGCGCGTCGACGCTGCGGGCACGACGCAACGAGTCAGCTGAGCAGCCATGGCGACTCGCGAAGAGACGGTAGACGACCCGCCGGGTTTGGAAATTGGAAACAAGGCGGATGGGTAGGAGCGTCGACTGCTAGCGCAAGAGGCGGTTGAGTGAGGACTCGAGTGAGGACTTCGTTAGATAAGATCGAAGAAGTGAAGTTGTCGGAGGGTGATCGAATTTTGAAGGGCTGTGGTAAGGGGGGAAGCGCGAGGCTGATTGCCATCCGCGGGCGTCAGCAGCGGGGGCTGCTGCTTGGCGCGGAGTGTCGGAAGCGAATAGCCGGGAATGCGCGGGTGATTAGGGGAAATTTTTGGTTTTGCAGGAGGATGAGTGCGGCCCGGAGGAGGAACATGGAGGGTGAGGGCCACGAGTTTCCAGTCCACTTGGCGCGTTTTGATTGAGTGACCAGAACGCCCCTCGGGTCTTTTTGTGTCCACGTCAGCATGGAGGCTTCGGGAAATGTGCGTGAATTTGCTGTGAAGCATGATCCATAAAGTGTATACACCAGCTTCCAGCTGATTGTGTAAGAAGAACAGTTCCCTGCAAATTATGAAATCACGTGTAGCGCGTACAGCCCAGCAACAGCAGACCCCAACAGCATCTGGATTTAGGAGTCAGTGTGACGCCTAACAAACCCCCTTTGCAGGCCCAGATTACTCCATCTCCCAGCTATTCCCGCTCGTCCCGCCGCCATAGCATTAGTGAGCACCCGTCGCCGTCTCTTAAACCTCACATGTCCAGGTCTTTCCAGCTCACATTTTCGCTGAGATCCGTTCGTCACCAATCGTGACGTCATCCGCGCATGGCTCCTAACCCTGCTCGCGCATCTGGGAAGCAACAGCAGCAACAGCGTTCCAATTCCTCGCCACGCGTTAAGACTTCTCCAAGCACGCCGCTGCGCAACCGATCGCTCCTGCATTTCTTCCGCCCGTTGCCTTCCCCCGCCGCTCAGCCCCGCGCGGATCCCTGTCTTGCGCGCGCCAAGGCGGAATGCGGAACCGGGGTGGCGGAAGTTAGCTTTCAAAGACTCGATTTTTCCTGCAAGACGAGACGGGGAGAGCTCGCAGGAAGATCCTTGCGTAGAGATTGCGCGGAACTTGTCAGGGGAGCGCGGAAGGAGGCAGATTGCGTGGGGGAGAGTTGCACACAGGCGGGAGCGGGAAGGGTATTGGGGGAGGGACTTACCGCGTATGCCTTTGGCGGATGCAGCGGAAGGGCGGGGGAGGGAGACTATTTAGCGGAGATGAATCCAATGACGACGAGGCGCGTCAGGGCGAGACTCTCTGTAGAAATGGCTCTAAAGCCAGATGCTGTAGAGTCGAAAGGCATGGAAGGTGAGGCGGGAGGCGCGGGGCCGGCGGAGGATGGATACTCGCGGAGCATTTGTCGAGAAAGGGGGTCGGGGGGAACATGTGGGGGGAAAGGGGAAGTGCGAGGGGATGAGGTGGGGGTGAAGGGGGAGGGAGAGTGGGGTATTGGCTTGGCGGTCAGGGAAATGTTGGGGGTGGAGGGGGAAGCAGGAGGTGCGGAAGGGGGAGAGGGTGGGAGAGTGAGCGTGGGGGGAAATGGCGAAGGAGAGGGGTGTGAAGGGTTGAGTGGAGGCATGATTGGGGTGAGAGTGGTGCGTGGGATGACGGATTCAGATGGGTGGGGATGTTGGGAGGATGGAGAGGAGAAGGTGGAGGGTGCAGGAGGAGAGGAGGGAATGAAAGAGGAGGAGGCTGAGGAAATCACGGATAGAGAGCGGTGGGAGGGGATGAAGGGCGGTGTGGTGGGGGAAGTGGAGGAGAAGTCGAACGCGGATAAAACAGAGGCGAGGGATAATGAAGCAGAGGAGGAGCATGCAGCGTGCGAGTTGGGCCTGCTAGGTTACTCTGACTGGTCTGCCGCCTCTGCCTCCTTCCGCGTTCGCTCTGCTGCCACGCTCCTGCCCCCGGGCACAGCCACTCTAGCACGCCTCTGGGGGAGGGCTGCTCGTGGGGCGGAAGGAGGAGGGAGTGAGACGGGTGCAGGGAGTGTGCGGAGCGGAGGGAGTGGGATGGGTGGAAGGGTGGAGGGGGGAGCCGGGCGAGGGAATGCAAGTGGGGAGGTTGTTGGGAAGGCGAGTGGGATGTTGCGTGGGAAGGCAAGTGAGGGGGCGAGTGGGAAGGTGGTGGGTGCGGTGAGTGCAGTGGGTGCGGTGAGTGCAGTGGGTGCGGTGGGTGCGGTGAGTGCAGTGGGTGCGGTGGGTGCGGTGGGTGCGGTGGGTGCGGTTGGTGCGGTGGGTGCGGTGGGTGCGGTTGGTGCGGTGGGTGCGGTGGGTGCGGTTGGTGCGGTGGGTGCGGTGGGTGCGGTGCACGTGGAGAGTGCGAGCAGCAGCCGTGTGTTGCGGCAGCGCGGCATTTCCGCCTTCTTTGGCGGCAGTGGGCCCTTGGTGGTGGCCGAGGAGGAGGTGAAGCCGGGCAGGAAGGGGCGGGCGGCACTGGGGAGGAGACGAGGAGGAGGGAGGGAGCGATGGGGAGAGGAGCTTCGTGAGAATGAGAGTGAGAGTTTGGGTGGGAGGGGCAAGGCTGGTGGGACTGACAAGGCGGGCGAGAGGATGGGTGCAGTGAAAGGGGATGGTGATGGGGCAGAGGATTCAAGGGAGGGAGACGAGGGAGAGGAGGCAAGGGAGGCAGATGAGGGAGAGGAGGCAAGGGTCACAAAGGATGATGCGTGGCCCACTGCTGATGATGCCGATGATGTTGATGGTGCTGCTGCTGATGCTGCTGATGATGGTCAGAAGGCCGTGAAGGCAGCTGCTCCTGCTGCACCCACCGCTGCTGCATCCTTGCGCTCCCGCTGGTCTTCTCAATCCCAGCGCCCATGCCCCTTCTACAAGAAGATCCCTGGTCCGTGCCTTCGCCACCCATCACTACCCACCACAACCCATTGCTACTCACCGCCACCTGACAATACGATGCATGCACTCTCATCTTCCTCACACACTTAACTCCTCGCGCAGCTGCCCTGCCATTCGCCGCTCTGGATACCTTTCGTTCCCTTTCTGTGACTCCCCTCAAAAACCACCAAACCCTCCCCTTTCCCCTTCCATCCCCCCTCCTCCCTCCCATTCGCCCCACAGGAACGCCCTTTGCAGTGGACGCGTTTTCATACGGCCCCGTACCAGGCGTGCACCTCTACTTCCTCTCAACTCAAACCTTCCACCCATCCCAACCCTTTCCACCCCCGCTCCTCCCTCCTCCGTCCCCACCTCCTCCCCTTCCCTCCCCCCATTCTCCCCACAGGAACGCCCTTTGCAGTGGACGCGTTTTCATACGGCGCGGTACCAGGCGTGCAGCTCTACTTCCTATCGCACTTCCACAGCGACCATTACCGCGGGCTGTCCAAGCACTGGCAGGGCGGCCCCATCGTGTGCACTTTACCCCTTCCACCCCCCCTCCTCCGTCCCCATTCTCCCCACAGGAACGCCCTTTGCAGTGGACGCGTTTTCGTATGGGCCAGTGCCAGGGGTAGACCTGTACTTCCTGTCGCACTTCCACAGCGACCACTACCGCGGGCTCTCCAAGCACTGGCAGGGCGGCCCCATCGTGTGCACGCCCGTCACTGCCCGCCTTGCTCACATGTGCCTGGGCGTGGACCAGAGGTGTGTCTTTTGGGGGCTCGGGGCTCGGGGGTGGGCTGGGGGGTGCGCGGCTGGCAGGGCGGCCCCATCGTGTGCACGCCCGTCACTGCCTGCCTCGCCCACATGTGCCTGGGGGTCCACCAGCGGTGTGTGGTGTGGGGCCTCGGGGGTATGCGGCAGGCAGAGCTGTGTGGTGTGGGGTGTCGGGGGTCGGGGGTGGGCTGGGGGATGCGCGGCTGGCAGAGCTGGGTTAAGGGGTGGAGTGGGAAGGGGGGAAAGAAGAGAGGAGTGGGTAGCAGGAGGGGGGAGATGTGGAGGAGGTGCGGGGGATAGAAAGAGTTGGGTGATGGGAGTTGGGTGAAGAGCACACTTGATTTTGCTACTGCCATCCCACTCATTCCGATGTTGTGTGTGCGTGTGCGTGCGTGCGTGTGTGCATGCACGTGCATGTGAGTGTGTCATGTGTGTGCACGCGTGGGTGTGTGTGGTGCATATGTGCATGCATGCGGTGGTGGTTGCAGTCTACTCATCCCGCTCACCTTCACCACCACGGTCAATCTACACGGCCATGCAGTTACGCTGTTACCAGCCAACCACTGCCCTGGCTCCGCGCTCATCCTCATCCGCACCAACTCGCCCCCTCCGCTGCCTCGCTCTCTCTCCTCTGCACCGCCAATGCCGCACCAGCAGCAACAGGCATGCACGTATCAGCAGCAGCATCATGAAGCTCACGCTGCTGCCTCCGCCTCTCCTCCTCATGCCTCCCCTCCCAGGCCTACTCTCCCAACCACACACCACCCTGCATCCCTCCCCACTCTTCAACCTCACCCACCCTCCTCTCACACACTCCTCCCCACACCCTCCCCCGCTCCTCCTCCCCCCGCACTCCTCTCCGCCACCATACTCCACACGGGGGACTTCCGAGCATGTGAGGCCATGCGCACGTACCGCCACCTGCCTGCTGCAGCTGTGGATCGCCTGTACCTCGACACCACCTACTGCCACCCACGCTACACGTACATACCCTCACTTCACCCTCTTCCTCTCCCCCCTTTATTCACCCTCTTTCCAGCACCCCTCCCTCCTTTTTTTTTCTCATCCATGCTCACCTCCTCTTGTTGAGTCAGCTAAAGAGTTTAAGAGATTCTTGTTATGTGCGGCATGTCAAAAGCTGCTGCTAGCCACTCTACACTGTAAAGCACCCGTCAGCCTTTCCTCCTCTGCCTTCTTGTTATGAAGCTCCGGACCCCCTTTGCCCATCTCGCAATGCTCCATCACTCAGTTTGCAACAGAACCTCCCTCTCACTCCCCCTCTGCCCTGCTCTCCCCCACAGCTTCCCGGATCAGCAGCAGGTGATAGACTATGCGGTGGCGGTGGCAGTGGCAGCGGACAAGGCGGAGAGGAGGGCAGGGGGCAGGGTGCTGGTCGTGGTGGGGGCATACAGCATCGGCAAGGAGCGCCTCTTCCTCGCCATAGCCCAGGCGCTGCAGGTACCCCCTCCCCCCTTTTCCTGCCTCCCTGCTCTCAACTCTTCAACCCAGAAAATCCTTCTATACTCTTTCGTGCCGCCGTCCATTTCTATGCACACCCTCCCCCCCCCATTCCTTTCTTCTCCCCTCTTTTTCCTCACTCTTCCTCTGCTCGTCCGTTCCCTTTGGCCTGCAATCGCCAGGAGAGCATCTTCTGCCTGCCGCGGCACCACCGCCTGCTGCACGCGCTGCAGTGGCCCGCACTCTCCTCCCGCCTCACCCGTGACGCCACTTCCTCCCCGCTGCACGTGCTGCCGCTGGGGCAACTGCGCGCTCAGGTGAGACTGTGGCGTGCTGAGGGTGGGCAAGGGTGTGGGAGCAGGAGAGAGGGAAAGGAAAGGAGTGGGCGGGAGGGCGAGAGATTTGGCAGTCAGGGGTGTAGCTGTGAGTCGGTCCTAGGAAGAGGAGCGAGCGAGTCGGAACACCACTCCTGTGTTATAACTGCATTGTCATGCTTTGCTATCTGATGGGCCACTCTTGAAGTTTCCATGTCCTGTTTCTCTGTCTTGCTCTTCATGCAGCGCCTGCATGAGTATGTGTCCAACCAGAGAGGTTTCACTCGGGTCATCGGGTTCCGACCCACAGGTGCTATTCCATTTCATTCCATCCCATACAACGCCATAACAAACGATACCATGCCATGCCATGCCATGCCATGCCGTGCCATGCCAATTATATGGCCCAATTTAGAGAGCAGGTTTCCGGTTGCATTCCGCACTGCATTGCATTGGGGGCTGACATGTGCGATATTACTCGTGCACTCCCTGCCAGGATGGACCTTCTCCCAGCGCTTATCCTCAGGTCTGCACAACATTCAGCCCCAACACTATCGCAATGCTTCACTATATGGTACACGCTCGCCTTTTTCTTTTCTCGTCTTTTATCATTTGCCTCGTATCAATCTTACCCCGAATCAACTCTTACCTCGTCCCGGACTCACAAGCTTTTGAACAGCTTGTGGTGTGAACTGCCAGGATGGACCTCCTCCTATCGCCTAGCCTCAGGTCTGCGCAATTCACACAAGCTCTTCCATGCTGTCTCTCTCTCTCTCTCTCTCTCCGTACTCCAATTCTGCAGGCGTGCCTTACAGTGAGCACAGCAGCTTCACGGAACTACAAGACTTTGTCTCCTTTTGTCAGCCAAAGCAGATAATTCCGACGGTAAATGTTGGAAATCCCCGCAACCGCCATCTTATGCAATCCATTTTCAAGGAATGGCTAGGTGGTAGTAAGTAGGAGTCTGTGGAGCGATGTATTGTGTTTGATTTGGTTGTATATAAATTCTGATGTTTGAGCTTGTTTGTGAAGGTCTGTGCAGCTGTTTGTTTGGGTTTTCAGTTGACAACGCACGGTTTTCGAAACTGCACGCCAAATGCGCAGTTTCATCGCTTCTGGGGCAGGGTTACTGCCCGTTTTTCGTTTACAGCGCAGAGTTTGTGCGATTTCTACGCAGCTCGACGCTCATTCGTCTAAATATCCGAAAACGACAAGCCTGCAATGTAACAGAAAATTTATTTAACTCAGTCAGGTGTTTCAAAATTTTCACGCCCATATAGAGAGTGCATCAATCCTAAACATCCAGTCGCGTGGAGTTTAGGGTTGATGCTCCCTCGACGGCAGCCATTAAAAAAAATATATTTATAAAAATCGTGACAAAGGGAATCAGCCCTGAACACTTTCGGCCAATGTTTAGGGTTGATGCTCCCTAAACACTTCCGCCCGGTGTTTAGGGTTGATGCTCCCTAAACACCCCGCCCGGTGTTTAGGGTTGATGCTCCCTGAACAGCATGCCATCCGAGAGGGTAATATATTTTCGTCTGCCCAAAATTCAGGTGCAAACAGTTCGATGGCCGTCAATCCAACCGGAGTTGTCGGTCCGTCAACATTTTGACCAATGAAATCTTTACTGCGTAGAAATCTCACTAACTATGCGCTGTGATCGAAAACTGGGCACTAACAGTGCGCCAGAAGCGACAATGCTGCGCTTTTTTCGTATATTTTCAGTAACAGTGCGGGATTAACTAAAAACCCTGTTTGTTTGGATAATTCCGACCACTTAGCGAGGTGAGGAATCAGGATCCCCGCCAAAAGCCTTTCCAGGCTGGAAGAGTTTTTGGTGGTAGTCAACATGTACTGTTCACTTGACCACTGTACAGTATTGCAATGTGCAAAGCGACATTTTACATGGCACGGCCTGCAATGCAACCGTAGTGTGTGTGTGGGTGTGTGGGTGAGAGTGAGTTCCGGAACGGAAACAAACACGTTCGTTACAGACAGCTCATCACGTTACTAGTGCAGTACTGTAGCGCGCATTGTTGCATTGTACAGTCGATGCTCAGCCTAACACAAAAATTTGCTGCACAATTAGAAAATCAGTCACTCGCGAACGTTTTGCCTGTGAGTGGTGATTGTGCTGATTTCGGGGTACAGTCACCAAGTCGCGGAAGAAAACATCTACAGTTCATAAACAACAACGGCTGCCTGTCATCAGAATTGTTTACCTGGTTACGAACTTAAACCCCTAGACTCGTTTCACATTCCAATTTCATTTTACAATCACAATTTTGCCCGTGGCGACAAGGGCGAATGTGGCGAAATCCACAAACCTCGTTTCACTCACATGCCTCCCGCCTACCTGGTGTTCTTGAAATGAGCACCGACTGTACTGTACGGTTCTTGTTTCAAGCTGACAGGGCATGAAGAGGCAGGCTGGATGTTCACATGCAAATCGATGATGTGTTGGCGCCAGTTTCTCACGGTGTCGGTCAAACACAGGCCATACTGGGACAGACCCGAGCGCCTGTCAGATTCGTTACAGCAATACACGTATGCTTGGTCAGGGGCTTTCTAGGACAGTCATTAGGGAGGGATTCCAGAAAAGGTCAAACGGTGGAGGAGGGAGAGGTAGGGGGCAGGGGATTGGATGGACGAATGAAACGCGTCCAGACAACAGCACGGCCTGGGAAGAGCGCCAACGAACGCAGAGAGGGCATCGCGGAAGCCGACGTTCGGATGTTCATGCCGAACCAGATCCCACATGAAGAAATTATCGAACCTCACAAAACCGTTCTCTAATATACGGTACCGAAATGAAGGTCTCTTTTTGGCAGTTGGGAGGGAGGCACGTTCCGCAAGTCCTTGCTGAGGCTGCGGGTGGTAGCAGGCTGCCAGGTTTGGAGCACCTTGTGTTTTCCCCTGCTTCCAGGTTTTTCCCTGCATCACTGTCAGCCACGGGAAGTATCTGCCAGACCAAGGGAGGTGGGGTGAATGTGAACGACGAAAACTCTTCAAACAGCAAACGAAACCAGCTTCAGGGCAAGTCGGCCCAATCCGGACCTTCCGCGTGGTCTGGGTTTGTCCTGTAGGGTGACAGTTTCCTGACTCGCGCACGGAAGCGGGGTCGAGTCCGCTTCGAAAAGAGACGTTCGTTGCCGTAGTGGGCACTTGTTAGCACTTGCTTCTTGGCTTGAATTTGTTTCTGTCAACACAATTCGTTGCGTTGCAAGGAGTCTTCCGCTCTTGGGTTTCAAGATCCGCTGACTCTGCGCGTTTGCATCCCTTCCACCCTCTCATCAGCATCACAGAATGGATAAACACGCAACGCGGCTCCTGCGGCATCTCAAGCGAATAGTGGCCCAGCAAGAGTCCAATCAATCGTCTCCCGTCAACGGCAAGGAACAGAGGCTTAACGACGCGGTGTCAACTTCTCCAAAGGATTCTCTCCTTTCCGAGACTCAGCGTTCTGCTCTCATTCCTGCACCGACCGCATTCCCCACGCTCGCAGCAGCCATAGCAGCCGCTGCGTCGGGGACTACGAGCAGCAGGTCCAAGGATCCGTCGCAAAGGGCAATGATGCCGCCCCCAAGCTCTCGCCCTTCCAAGTCGCCTCGTCCTTCCGCGACCACTGTTTCGCGACGCGCGGCCGCCGCTGCTGCTTCCAGTAGCCGTTCCGCGACGCTCGATGCGCGCAATGCGGTGGCTTTCCCAGCGCTGCGGGGCTCAGATTCGAGCGTGCCACAGCAGTGCAGCAGCACGGGGGTGAGCAGCAGGGAGAGCAGCGACAGTGCGCAGGACTCTAGCCGAAACGATGACCCGAACGCGTCCGCAATGCACAACGGCGAAGCGACCCCTGCCGGCGCCGCGGGGGAGAGAAGTGGCAGGCGCAGCACCCCACAAAGCGGCACCGCCTCCAACGCGGCGTCGGACCGCGCCGCTCTTTCTAAGGCTCGTCCCCCTTCTAAGAAGCGGCCACGAGCGCCGATACCGCTGGAGATACCCCCGTCAGGCAGTTGCGACAACCCGGTTCCTATCGCCCTGTACGTCTCTCCCCGCTCCCTCCGCCAAGAGCGCGGCGTTTCCGTCTCCCCGCGCAGCCGCAACCGCGGTTCCAGCGGCAGCGAGCCGGCGGTTCGTCAGCCGCCGGCAGTTCAGCTCCTGGAGTATCTTCAATCGCTGCTGGTGGCGCGACCCAAGTCGCAGGAGCAGCAGAAGGAGCAGCAGGAGCAACTGGCGGCGCTAAACGCGCTCACTATGGACCTCCTCGTTGAAAACGTCGTTCTTGCCATGACGAACAGCGGCTGCGGCGGCGGAAATGCCTCTGGGGCCGTTGCTGCTGCGACCGACGAGAAACTGAGTGGTTGCGGCGATGGGAGTAATCCTCCCGTGGCGCCGCCTCCTGCTGACGCCGCGTGGACTGATCTGGGCGTGCCTCCGGCGAATGAAGCCGCAAGTGGAGGCAATGCCTTCGTTAAAGACGACGCTTGGAATGCGGCAGTGACGGCCGGAGACAATTCTCTAGACAGCAGCACTGCTTCTGCCTCTGCTGCTGTGGCGGTCATCTTGCTTGCTGCTTCCGCCGTCTCCTCCTCCGCCGTTGCAGAAGCTCCCCACTCGACCGTCTCTCCTGCTGCTTCTGCTGCGAGGCAGCTGCCGCCTTCTGCCGCTGTCCCTCCGCTTGTTTTGCCATTGTCGACCTCCGCGAACGAATCCCCATCTGCGCCTTCAATGTTTCCGCGCCTGGAGAGCATTGCGGAGGCACCCTCCCCGGTGGAGACCAGTGATGAAAGAGTCACGGCAGTGGAGCAAACTGCAGATGCTGCTTGTAAGAATGACCCATCGGCTGCTGAAGGCTGTGAAGTCTCGTTGTCTGAGGTTCCCGGCGTTTCATGGGACGAGCTTTTGAAATCAATGCAGGACCAATCAGGGGATGTCATCGCGAGCAGCGGTTCTGGAATCGACAGCCACATCCCATCGCTGGATGACGAAGTGCATGTGGATAAAGAAGCCAGGGAACCAGCGTTGGAAAGGAGTGCGAGTGGAGGAGGCACTGATTCTGCTGACATGAAACAGATGCAAGAGCTGCTCGCAGACCTGTTACAATCACCAGACCTGTTGCAGGCTTCTGCTCCCGCTGGAGGCTTGGGCTACGATTGCGACGGTGCATATGGCATAAGCTTTGACCCGTGGATGCAGTCCCTTGCAGATAGTGCTGATGAGTGCATGATGGACGCTGATGTCTCGGAACCATCTTTGAAGCGCCTTCGGCTTCTTCCTGCTTATTCTGCTCAAACTTAAATACAGTCCTGTTTTTCGTATCGGCGACATACTTCCTTTTATCGTGTTCATAGATTGGTAGTATAATGCAGGTGCCTTTTTTGAAGTGAGGAGTGCTCACTTGTTTTAAAGAATTACCTCCATAATTACCTCGGTAACAAGCCTTTTTGTACAGACACAACCAAACATAGGGATTTGCTAAAAATCATTCCAAACTTGCGATGAGGCGCCTCACTGTTGTAGAATGACAGGAAGTGTTCAAGAGAGTCAGAACGGAATTTTATTGCACATCACCCTGGCAAGAAATCCATCCAGATGGCCAGCATTTTTCAAAATCCGATTAGGTAAAAACTTTATGTAGAGGGCGGTTGGATTCTTGCACGCAATAACCTGAGGGTGATCTGTGTTGTGGTACTACACTAGTGTGCTGTCGAGGTTATCCCATAAATATGTCGTTTCGCGGGTTATCAGGTGCATTCTGCTACCGTGGTTCGAAGCTCATTGCAGATAGAAGTGGCAAGGTGAGAAGTGCTTTCATCGGGGAGGCAAGAAAACCTCCAAAGTCCAACCAGAAACTCTCGTTCGCCAACAGATTTCAAACATTCGAACGTCCAATTTGCTCACGTCCTCCCTGGGTCCCGATGGTCTGGAATCCAAACACCCCCGCTTTTGTTTGTCGGGTGTCGGGACTCGGGATCCAGGACTCGGGGGTTGGGAGTTCTGGGGTTTCGTGGGGTGGGGTTTCGTTGGGTGCGGTCTCGTTCGCCCCAGTAATTCTCCCCGCCATCAGGACTCTCCATTCTTCACACCCTTTCTTCTCCAACCCCTCTCCGTGATTTATCCCCACCTCTGCCCCCGACCTCCAACCAGTAATTACTAATTAGTACTGTATGGCATCTGCAAGCCCGCCCGCACCCAAGAGCCTTCCTGATTCTCAGAAAGATGGTACGGATAATCCCAGCACCACTGCAGCTGCAGACACCACTGACATTGCTTGTCAACCTCCTCATCGTTCACAATTCGAAACCGAATTGGGCCATTCAGAGCGCTCCTCCCCATCAGCACCTGTCTCTGATGCGTTCGACGATTTCGATAGCGTTACCGAAGTGGGCGTCGCGCGTCTCGCGGAGCCCGCGATAGGAGAGAGGGCATTAGGTGAGCCGGAACGCGCAACCACCGCTTCGCAGAATGGACTGTCTTCCGCGGAAGACGCCGACGACGGTGAAGTTCCCCCGAACTCCACAGCCGCAGCTGCAGCCTCCGTGGGCGGCGCAGCAGGCGGGGATGCGATCGTTGACCGCGCGCCGGAGGGTTATGCGCGCAGTCAACACGCGGAAAACGACGACGGCGCGGCGAGTCAACGCGGGGTTAACGATCGGCGAGACGAGGCGAAGGGCGGAGCGGAACTCGGCGAGGAAACGCAGAGGAATTGGGACGACCATGGGCCGGGACAAGCGGCGGAGGAGGTTAAACGCGATGAGGGGGTGAAAGGGAACGATGGCGAGGAGTTTGGTGAAAATAAGGACGCAGCTACGGAATTGTGTGAAACGGGATCAGCGGCACGAGGAAGTGAGGGGTCGGAGGGTGCTGCATTGAAAATTGAAACTGAAGAAAATGGTAGCAGGCGACAAGCAGTGTCCGAGCTTAAAACGGATGATCCAGCAACGGATGCCGCGCTTACCACTGACCTCGCTGAAAATGCTCCGCTAAAGGACGACTCGATTGCTGACGGTGTTGACGCAACTTCGGATAAATCGATTCTGGGGTTATCGGACGGGCCTGTACCCGGCGACGCTGTAACGTACCTTCTTATAGAGGACGATTCTCTTGAGGATGATTCATTCGCGGACGATGATTTTCCCGAGGATGACCCGATAGTGGACGATTCGTTACTGAACAAGTTTTATCCAATCCAAGGCGTTCTGCCCTCGTCAGACTCTGCAGAACTCGCGTCGTCAGCCGAAGCAGCCATAGCCGCGTTACAATCGCCGTCCTTCCCCTTCCCCTTCCCCACCGCCGCGCTCCCCACGGAAGCGCGCCTGCTGCTGTCGCTGCTGGCGCAAGACGCGCTAGACCGCGAGCAGTACCGCCGGTGGCGGGAACGGCTGCGCGTGGCGCAATGGGAGTGGCGGAACGAGCACGAGCGGCGGAAGCTCGCGGTGAGGGAGGCGATGGAGTGGGAGGCGCGCAGCCACGAGCGCGCGCAGGAGGACGACGAGCAGCGCATTCGGCGCGCACGAATGGCCGCGCGAGCCGTTGCGAGTGGCGCAGCGGCTTATGGCGAGGTGGGTAGACCGTCGGTCGTCAGGCGTTTGCTGTTTGGCGTTGGGCGATGGGCTGTGGGAGAGAGCGAGCAAGGACAGGGAGAGAGGGCATGGACAGGGATAGAGAGGAAAGACAAAAGCTGGATGTCGTAAGGCCTGTTCAAATTCGTCATTTTGGCTCGTCTCCGCTCTGTTCGAATTTGCACCCGCGCCTTGCCTCCCTGCTCGCTCCTCCAAACCTCCTCACGACCTCGTCTCTCCCCTCCCCGCCATGCTCGGTCCCACACACAACAGGGGTCCAGGGTTTCATTCGCCTCGTTCGCCCTGTCGCCTGCTGCAGTGCAGCAGCCCGTGAGTCGCGGGGCCACGCTCGCACGCACTCGGAGGGTCGCTGTTAAGAGCAAAAGTCAGCAGGTACATGCCTAGGCTGCAGCTCAGCAGCAGCAGCAGCAACAGCAGCTGCGACACAGCGGCTTTTGAGTTGGTGTTTCCCCCCGTCCTATTCCTCCATATCCTTCATATTTGTCGTATCCTTCATATCCTTGGTTCTAATCTGCTGTGTCCTCCCCCTTCCCCCCCTCTTTGCGCCCTCCTCCCCTCCCCCAGGCGCACTTCTCCCCAACCTCCCCATTCCCCCACTCCCCTCTACCGCCCGCCTCGCCTCGCTCCCCTCTCCTTTCCCCTTCCCCCGACCCTCCCCCCTCGCGCAAGCCCCGCGCGCCCCCCTTCCCCCCACCTGCCCCCGAGCCACGGCTCTGGTACGACGAGTGCTTCGACCCCGCATACCCACCGCACCTCTTCCACCACCACTTCCGCATGTCCCCTGGCACATTCGACCACCTATTCTCCTCCCTGCTCCCCATAGAAGGCGTGCGTCTCCCCTCCTCCGCGCCCAAAATCCCCCTCCGAATGCGCCTCGCTGTGTGCCTCTGGCGCCTTGCATCCGCCGAGCCGCTGTACTTAGTCTCTAGAAGGTTCGGGTTGAGTGGTGCCATGTGCTCGCGGATCCACCACGAGACCTGCGCCACCATATGCCAAGCCCTCATCAGGACGCACATTCACATGCCGTCGTCGCCTGCTGAGCGTGCCGCTGCAGCAGGGAAGTTTGAGGAGGTGTGTGGGCTTCCAGGAGGGTGTGTGGCGGCGCTACACACGACGCAGATCGCCATGAACACGCCTCGCACGGGCGAGAGCATGCGCGAGTATGAGAACCGGCGGCTGTCGGCACGGCGGCAGAAGGTGGTTCATTCCGTGGCGGTGCAAGTGGCAGTGGGAGCAGATGGGCTGATTCTTGATGTGTCTGCTGGGCCTGGTTCTTTGACTGACCGTGACGTGCTTTTGCAGTCGCAGCTGTACCAGAGGGTGAGCAAGGAGGAGAGGCAGAGGCAGGGGGGATTGGCGGAGGACGGGGAGGGGAAGGGGAGGAGGAAGGGGGAGGCGGAGGGGAAGAGCAGCAGTGGTGGGGAGGGGATAGTGCCTCCGGGGTTCTTTTTTGTGGGCTGGCACTCCTTCCCTCTGCTGCGATGGCTGCTCACTCCCTTCCCTGATCGAGGCCTTTCCAGCATCGCCCACACTCGCACCGCCTCCACTCCTCTTTTTCCCCCTCCCGCCACCACTGCCACTGCTGCTCTAGCTGCTGCTAAGACGGCTTTACTTACGTCGCACCTGCCACGGTCTGACCGCACAGAAGATGCAGCAGCAGCAGCAGCAGCAGCGGGAGCAGCAGCAGCATCAACAGCGGCAGCAATAGCGCTGATATCCTCCCCATCGGCAGCTGCTGCCGCCGCAGCAGCAGCCATTGCATGTGCTTCAGGTGGGCCAGGGGGAAGAGGGCGAGGGCGAGGGCGAGGGCGAGGGCGAGGGCGAGGGCGAGGGCGAGGAAGAGGGGTCTCAGCTGCTGCCGCCGCCGCCGCCGCAGCTGCACGTAACCAAAGCTCTGCTGCCCTCGCTGCAGAGGCAGCAGCACCGCAATCGTTCGTGAACCTAGCAGATCTACCGACTGAGTTGCTGGTACGGCGCAAGGGTAGCGTTCCCATACCTGACAACATTGAACAGCTGCAGAGGGCACTAGACGGCATGCGAGATGATGCGGGGCGCGGGCGAGGGGGTGAGACACGGCCAAGGAAGCGAGGCCGGCCGCCTCTGCATGCGAGACGGGTGATTCGCGAGGAGAGTATGAGCTGGTGGGCGGGCGAGAGGGAGAGGAGGATGGAGATGGAGAGAGTGGGTGCTGCTGCAGTGGATGGGGGCAGTGGATGGGGTTCTGTGGAGGGGGATGTAGGGACAGGTCGAGGCAGGGGTAGGGGAGTGGGGAGGGGTGGGAGTGGGGCAATTGGGAGAAGTCAAGCCGGGGAAGGGGATTATGAGGGGAATGATGATCCTGACACGGGTGGTAGAGGTGGCAGTAGTAGAGGTGGCGGCAGTGGTGGTGGTGGTGATAGTGGTGGTGGTGGTGGCAGCGGTGGTGGTGACGGCGGTGGTAAACGGCTGACTATATTGGAGAGGCTGGGGAGGGAGAGCATGTTGCCTGGCGACCAGCTACGATTTAACCAAGGGGTTGAACGGGCAGTGGCCGTGGCGCGCAATGCAGTGCGCCGGTTGCGGAGCAGATGGAAACTTTTAAGTAAGCGTGCGGAGACTAAAGTGGAGGAACTACCGGAGATTGTGGGTGCGTGCTGCGTACTGCATAATTTGTGTGAAAAGAGGGGGGAGCGGTATGACGTGGCGTGGGAGGAGGGTGTGGGGAATGAGGAGGAGGAGGATGCTGATGAGGCTGCCAAGTCAGCTGCTGAGGTGGCGGAGGAGGAGGAGGTGAGACGAGCAAGCAAGAGAGCGAGGATGGGGGGTGACAGGGGTGGGGGGCATGCAGAAGCAGCTTTGGGCCCTGGAGAAAGGAGTAGGTTGAGAGTGGTGGAGGAGATGGGGCGGAGGAAGTGTGGTTGAATGTGAGTGGAGGAAACAGGCATTATTTACAAAATGGCCTTCAGTGGGGTAAAATATGCTGATGTGTAATAATGGTTAGTTGGCTTGTATTAGCGTAGAAGTGCAGTCTGTACCGACAACTGACCAGATTGGTAATATGAAGAGCATAGAATTACCACGCCAAGAACATGTTGATTGGGGGGCTGATTAACAACCCGTGAATTTTATAGCATATTCGAGTGGCCCATGTCCAAATACACATACTAGAGTCTTTTCGGCCTGGTTCTTGCGCGAAGAAAAAGTTAGGCGCCTACGATTTCGGCCGTTTTTGCCGCAAAGTGCCTAGAAAGCAGGCCCCACGATATCAGGGCAAAACATCCTGATTACCCTGAATTCAGGATGCATATTTGAATTTGCCCTGCAATTTCAGAATAGTGACACTTTTAACCCTGAGCTCTCAGGATGTTATTATATGAAATGCCCTGGAAAATCAGGATGGCTGTGGTGTTCTTCCCTGCAGCGTCAGGATGAATGTCGAGGTTCGCCCTGACGCGTTTTTTTTTTCCCGCCGGGGGGGGGGTTTGGTGGTGGGGGGAGGGGTACCGTTTCCCGGGAAATTGTTCCCCGGAAAATTTTCCCCCGCGGATTGCTTTCCCCGTGTATTTTCCCGCTTTCGCGACCCCCTTGCACTTCCGACCCTGCACAACGCACCAACCAAACGCATCAGATGGGGGAAACAGTGAACACTCCCAAATAGTCGTGTGCCATGCTGCTATGCTCTGCTCGACTCTGCTCAGTAGAGTCTGGTCTGGTCTGAGCTGAAATCTGAACCCTGAACAGAGGTTTTTTTGCCCTGACAGGTCAGGATTAAAGCCCGAGTCTAGAATGGCAAAGGTTCAACTTCAAGATTCTTGAACTTGTTTTCGTCAAGAACAGGGTAACCAGGTTCAGAAAGCTGATCTCTCGCTACCCACCGGGAAGGGAGTTGGTGGGCCAGAAGGTGATTGGCCAAATGCCCCACAGCAAAAACACGGACGAGCCTCGCCAGAAACAAACAAAGGCAAGTATCACTCCCGTCGCTCTCTCACTCACGTCGCGCTTTCACTCCCGTCGCGCTCTCACTCTCGTCGCTCCCGTCGCGCTCATTCTACCGTCGCTCTCTCACTTTTTTGCGCTCTCACTCCCGTCGCTCTCTCTCTCTCCCGCCGCGCTCTCACTCCCGTCGCTCTCTCGCTCCCGTCGCTCTCTCACTTCCGTCGCGCTCTCACTTCCCTCGCTCTCTCAGTGACTGCCGCTCTCTCACTCCCATCACCCACGCACGTCGCTCGAACATGTCGCTCACACGTGACTCACACGACTCACTAACACATGTCGCTCATATCTGCTCCTCTTACCCTCTTCCCCCTTTGCGCTCCCCCCGGTTCCTCCTCTGCCCATCTTCCCCGTCACTCACACACGACACACACAACACACAAGACATGCTCACACATGTTCCCATCTCCCCTCTCCTCCCTTCCCTCTCCGCTCCTCTCCTCCCTTCCCTCTCTGTCCCCCTCCTTCCCTTCTCTGTCTTCGCCTCGCCTCCCTTCCCATTCATCCCCTCCCCTTCCTTTCCCTTTCGTCGTCTTTCCTTCCTTCTATCTGTCCATTCACCGGGAAGAATTGAGAGGGGGACTGAAGAGCCTTCTCTTCCCTCCTGCCTCACTCACTCCCGTCTGTTACCTACATCAATCCTGTTTATCATTCCAGTCACTTGCTTTCCTGACTGTCCCACTCCTCCCTTCCCTCTCTCACACCCTCTCCCTCTCACACCGCTTCCGTCTACCACTAATGAAACTGGCGTGCATCCCCGTGACGCAGGGTGCAGGTGATGGCGGCGTGTGTGCGTGGCTATGTGGCATTGTGAATGTTGGGGGGAAGGGGGGGAATGGAAGGCGGAAGGGAATGGGAGACGTCGCCCACGTCGCTCCCGTCACTCCCTTCCCTTTGGGCCCGACCCTCTCCGCCTCTCGCCCCTTCCGTTGTCGCCTCTCCACTTTCCCTTTCCCTTTCCCCCATGTCCTCCTTCTTACGACGTCTCCCCCGTTACCCCCCCTCACCCTCACCTCAGCTTTACTCCAACTCCACTCGCCCCTGCTGCCCCTAGGTGCCACATGGTAGCGTGGTTGGTGACCTCTCCATACGTCCCTCGCTATTTCGTCGTCGCCACTCCCCTGTCTGCCTCTCTCGTCCAATCCCTCTAAGATCATCCCCTCCGTTCCCTTTCGGCCCCTCTCGCCCCTCCTTCCTCAGCCCCTCTCCTCCTTTCCCTCTCAGCCCCTCTCCTCTTTTCCCTCTCAGTGCCTCTTCTCCTTTACCTCTCAGCCTCTCATCTCCGCCTTTCCCTCTCAGCCCCTCTCCTCCTTTCCCTCTCAGCCCCTCTCCTCTTTTCCCTCTCAGTGCCTCTTCTCCTTTACCTCTCAGCCTCTCATCTCCGCCTTTCCCTCTCAGCCCCTCTCCTCCTTTCCCTCTCAGCCCCTCTCCGCCTTTCCCTCTCAGCCCCTCTCCTCCTTTCCCTCTCAGCCCCTCTCCGCCTTTCCCTCTCAGCCCCTCTCCGCCTTTCCCTCTCAGCCCCTCTCCTCCTTTACCTCTCAGCCATTTCCCCCCTTTATCTCTCCTCTGCCCGCTCTGCCCTTTCCTCTACCTTCCCTATTTCTCCACCAACATTCCCTTCAATGAGCTCGCCATGTCTCTCCCTCCCTGTTTCTTGTCCTTCAAAACGTTTCCCTCCATGCCATCACTCAGGTGCCCATCGAAGCTGCATCACATAGTCTCTTTCGTTTGCCATCTCTTCCTTCATTGTGCTTCTCTGCATTGGTCTCACGTCACACTCTTCTACCATCTTTCCACCACCCATTCCACCATACCCACCCTTGCACCCATCCCTCACCCTTCCACTCTGTGCCTTACTCACTCCTTTGCTGTTTCTGTCCTTTGTTCACTTTCCCTTTGCTCTCTCTGTCATCTTGCTCACCCTGTCCCTTGCTCACTCATACTTTTGCTGTTTCTGTCCTTTGCCCCATTTTCCCCTGCTCACCCTTCAATCTCTGCCCCTGCCACCCGATGACTGTCTACCACTCTCCTGGTTTCCCTCTCTGCCTCTCTGTTGCATTCCTTGTTGTCGTTCCCCTCCCATTCCGTCCTCTGCACGCGATCCATACCGCCTTTCACCATATGCTTCTCTGCTGCTCAGCCATCTCACATCTTATTTGCTGATTTGTGTTTGTACAGGTCCACTATACATTATTGCTGGTGCTGTGGTGATGTGTTGGCTGGCAGTTTGATAGTACTATAATGACTCGCCATTCAATGTTTTGATCTTGGATGCTTTGTTATAATACAAACTCTGAGCTGAGGAGCAGCCCTGCACATGACCACTTCACAAAAGTGCAACAAAATTCACAATTGATTTCGACACAAAGAAGACAGCTAGGAAATGTAAGGTTTTCTTGTTTGCTACACAGCATGCAACCTTGGCATGTGGTGCTGGGATCCTGGGACCTGTACACTGCGTGGTTGGAGGTGGGGGTGAGTGAAAGGGGGAACAGAGCGAGCAGGGGGGAAGAGAATGAGTAGGGGGCTCAGAGAATGAACAGGGGGGAAGAGAATGAGCAGGGGGCTCAGAGAATGAACAGGAGGGGGATGGGAGGGGGATGGGAGGGTGTTGGGAGGGGGATGGGAGGGGGATGGGAGGGGGGTGGGAGGGCGATGGGAGGGGGATGGGAGGGCGATGGGAGGGGGATGGGAGGGGGTTGGGAGGGGGACGGGAGGGGGATCAGAGGGGGATGGGAGGGGGATGAAGTGGGGACGGGAGGGGGATGGGAGGGTGATGGGAGGGGGATGGGAGGGGGATGGGATGGGGACGGGAGGGGGATCAGAGGGGGATGGGAGGGGGATGAAGTGGGGACGGGAGGGGGATGGGAGGGTGATGGGAGGGGGATGGGATGGGGACGGGAGGGGGATCAGAGGGGGATGGGAGGGGGATGAAGTGGGGACGGGAGGGGGATGGGAGGGCGATGGGAGGGCGATGGGAGGGGGACAGGAGGGGGGTGGTAAGTCGACGGGAGGGGAAAGCGAGGGCGACGGGAGGGGGAAGCGAGGGCGTCGGGAGGGGAAAGCGAGCGCGATGGGCGGGTGAAGCGAGCGCGATGGGCGGGGGAAGCGAGCGCGATGGGCGGGGGGAGCGAGCGCGATGGGCGGGGGAAGCGAGCGCGATGGGCGGGGGAAGCAAGGGCGATGGGCGAGGGACTGTGGCGACGAACGGTGGATGCAAGAGATCGACGGACGGGGGAAGCGAGGTCGACGACGCTCTAATTTCTCATCTCGTGGCGCGCTATATCACGGAGATGATCTCCGTGCTTCACATTCGCATTCGCGCCACATTCCCTCCCTCGGTCCACGGATTCCTCTCGATTCCGGCATAATAGCATATATTTTCACAGGACATACCTAAATATATTACTCTGGATACTTACTAGTTTCCTAACACAGATGCTCTGCCTATCTGGACTTGCGCACGCTTCTCAGCCTGCCCCAAGGGTGCGTTTGCGGACTAGGCGATAATCTGGGTTGTGAGTCGCGTGGGGGTGGTTGGGTTTGGTTTTGTTGTTAGTGTTTGTTCAAGTTTCGGGAAGCCGAAATTGAAGTTGCAATGCAGTGTAGAGCATTCCGCCTTCGCCACCTTCCCCCGGCGAATTTTTCTCTCGTCAAACTTCGCACAACCCTTTTCAAGTTCAGTATTTATGAACCCTTGCCATTCTAGACGCGGGCTTTAATGTTTGTAGAAGCCCTGAACATACAGGAAGGCCCCGAAAATTTGCCCTGACAAATCAGGGCATTTTTTAAGATTCTAGAAAAGTGCCCTGAGGGCTCAGGATGCCCCAATTCCTAGCACGGGCCCTGCTAGAAAGCGCGTGAATTCCTATAGGCGTAGGGAAAAGCATTGAACAACCTGAATTTTATTGCATATTCGAGTGGCCCAT